AATATCTGCCTCCAAGTTTTGCACATATTTCATCCAACCAAAATAACTGAAACTAATCTTTAGCATTCATATATTTTATAAACAAATTTATTTCAAAAGCAGCAAACAGCCTCGAAATTTTTCAGCTAGGAAGTTAATTTGCACTTATCTCACAGAAAGAATTAATTCACAGTACTTTTCCATGGAATATACAACTGAATAACAACAGTCTAAATGAGTATTTATTACACAGTTTATCCAAATTTATATATTTTATTAATCTAGCTACACCAAGTCTTGCCGGAGATGTAAAAAAAACCGAAAACACAGCAGTTAAGCAAGCTGGAATGCCTGAAATCTTGAGACAGCACAGCATGTTTCTTCTCTGTATTGGTGAGGATAACAAAAGGAAGCAAAACCAAGCATTCAGAGGTAGGAAAAAAATGTAATTATGATCTTGCCATCTCAGTTAGCCTAGCAGAATCTGTTGTATAGGCAAAAGTACAATTCACCACTTGAAACAGTCTAACAAAATACTACAGGGATGTCTCTGCACAGAAAGCCCATGGCCAGGGGAAGGAGAAGTTAGGGTGTAGACTCAGCTCCCAGTTAAATATATTAGGATTACTGTGTAAATGGTACAACTCAAGTCCTACTGAATAAAGTGCATTCACAAAGTAAATTAATAAAATTTTGCAGGCACAGTCACTGTTATATCATTATACAATAATTATTTGGAATATTTCCATCTATCAATAATGCCATCTGTCCCACCCAATACAAATGGACTACAACCCATCTGGCTTACTTTTTTCTATTGATTACTCTGCTGAATGAGTTAGCAAAACCGCTTATAAAATCCTCATATTACATGACACTGTCATTAAAAGATGTGAAGTAAAGAAAAACACAAGATCAGACTTAATTGGAAAAGTGTCAGTCCTTCTTCCAGAAAGTTTTAGCAATGCTATAAGCTTATTTCTTTTTTTTTTTTTTTTTTTTTTTTGGTCACTTAAAAAAAGCACCAAGAAGACACAAAGCCCAAAAGCCCAAAATCCTCCTAAATGCTAACTACTGGATTAGACCAAAATGAAATTGTTCTAGCACATAACTGCTACTAGGTATGCTAGAGAAGGTCCCTCCATTTATCTCCTCAAGAGTCAGAATGTCCCTAAGTATGCCTGGCAATCACAAAGAAACTATGGAAGGAATGTAACTTATAAATAGGGTGGAAGAAAGCTGATGATGGCTGTCACTTGTATTTGCTAATCCCAGTAAGTCTTCCTAGGTTTTGGGTTGGATTATTTATTTGCGTAATTGTCTTTATGCTATTTTTGCAGCCTCTTTTTTTTTTCTTTTGATTTTAACTACTGCTTCCCTTAATTATATTTTAATTTCTCCAGCAACAAAAATGCAGTTTTATGCACCTACAGAACAAAATGCTAACTTCAGCTCCTTCACTCTAGATCTCAATTTTTACAATACCTTTTATGTTTTAACAAGGAAATCCCTTTTGTGTACATTAAAAATGTCAATCCAAAGATCCTTAGCCCAGTTATTTAGTTGATGCTCTTCTGAATGAACCCTTGGTGGGGTTGCTTTCTTATCCTTCCCTCCCCACTATTTTTTTCCTTTCTACTACCTTACATCCCTGCACCAGACTTCTGTTTCCTCTGTCACCCTGAATGGCTTTTCCAATGATGCTGCGACCCAAAGTGACACATGAAGGAAGAAGAGAGAGGAACAGAGGCTGGATTCCGGCTCCAAGGAACAACCCTTGATGACTGTGGGTAACTGGAGCTCAGGGAGGCTCAGAGGGTTATACTGTAGGGTTGAAGCTGCAGGAATGATGCTGGGAGCACAGATACTAAGCTGCCATAAGGAGTGAGGGAAATCAGGATGATGACAGTAGAAAGGAATTGTGTAAGAAGGAAGGAATGATGCTTGAATAAGGAAGGGACCAGAGGCTGGGTGACTGTAACCACTCAGATGGTGCTAGGGGATCCAGCCTGCTTACTGTTTGCTCCCTCTCTTAGAGTCCCCTCCCATCCTCACTAGAACACGCCTCTGTTAATAATATATGAAATGTTTCCTCTGGAAAAAAGAGATTATTCCTAAATATACCTTTTATAATTTATCTTTAAAAATTGAAATTTATTTAAATATAATTGATCTTTCTCTTTGTAACTCAAGAAGTTCCTAAAAGACAATTGTCACTAGCAACATTACAAGAAGTCTTCTAAAGTCCAGCTAACTGTGTCTGACCCTGTGGCCTTATCTAAAATCAAGCTTTGAGCAACTGCATGTCCACATCCAGCTCTTATGAGTAAATATTTTGTGCTATAAAAACATATCCAGAAAACAATTCTCATACTTCTCTTTATATTATGTGCTGTTAGGTCCAATTTATTGGTGCCCTAAACAATTTATATAATATTTTTATGCTTTACTTACTACTGCCATCAAACATGTAGAAGGATTCAAGTGAAGTTGCCGGACAGTATTATTTATTCATGTAGAAGATATTTACCAGGTATCACCACAAAACAGAATGCTAAATTTCTCATGGTCTAAAGAAAAACAGCTTTGACAGTTCTGATGCATATGATTTAGTCACCATTTTAAATACAATTATCTTAATATGCCATTGCTTTGCTACTAAATACAGAACATTCAATGAACAGAAATAGTGTAAATCCCATATTTAAAACATAATCAATTCTATGTTTTATGATATATAACTTACAAAAAACATGTTCTGAGCTGAACTGTTTTATTTGCACAAACTCCTTTTTTCATGGATGACAGGAGAACAATTTCAACTGAGAAACCATTTGTTCTTATTAACTAATCTGTAGGTTGCTACTGGTTCAGGCCTTTGGCCACTGCTTAAAATAAAGTTAAAGAATAATAAAATACATTTGGTCTGGCTGACTTCATTCACTTGGCAAAAACAGACTATTATGTCATGCCATGGTATGCAACAGAACTGTCTGTAGCAGCACTGGAATACCAAAACCTGAACAAAACCACACAGGTAAGGAATACGCCTTCAGAGTAAGGCTACCACATTCTGTCTTGCACAGATAAAGGCAGTATCTTACAGGATCTGGAAGGCTGCTCCAAAATAAAAACTGTTTTCACTGGTACTATGGAATAACTGAGACAGAAGTACAACTGAAAAACAATTTTTCATTTTTCAATACAAAATCTCTATTTTCATTAACAGGACAACTGTATTTTCAGGGCAGGGTGATTCCCCCCTCTATTCCCTTGTAATAGAACTATTTGAAAAGTATTTTTCTCTGCTTTGCTTTGTATATATAGCCCTTCTAATCAAAAAATATACATATTCTTAGGAAAAAAGTTAATTCCTCTTTCTGAACCTCCTAGTGACAAAATTAAAGGAACAAGAACATGCAGCTGTTAATAATGTCTCACTGCCATTTATATTTAGGTTTTTTCCAAAGCATTTTTAGATGGTGTTGTGGCACACATTATCTAAGTTTTTTTTCTTTCTGATAGTTTCATTACTGAATTATGATCTGATAAGCACAGCGTAAGACCAATCAATATCCTAGAGGACTGCCTCATTGCAGGATGTTTTTTTTAAAGATTCCTGAAACCTGTCAAACAGCTATCACTACACAGGAGTACACGTGGGCAACAAGTAATTTCTTAAGCTATGGCTTGAACATTCAAAAAGGAACATGGAACAGATATTACTGATAGCTCAAAAGTTAGCAACTTCATTAATGTTTTTCAGGTAGCTAAAAAAAAAGTTTTAAAAATGCAAGTTCTGCCTAGTCATCTTAGTAAGTGGAAGAAATAAAGGACTTGATAAAGACTAGCTGGTATGCATAATAACTATGGAAGAGCTAAAAGACTGTATATGGAAAAAGTTTCAAAGAACTGGCAAACACCACCAATCTGTCTTCTAATTTTATATATTGCAAATCAGAAAGCAGAGAGGGTCTGTGGCCATGGTATGTTACTAATAGGTCACAAAACAAAAATGGAAATTTATTTAAATAAAACAAATTGAATTCAGATTCAATACTGGATCTGAAACTGGTCTTGGAGGAATAATAAACAATATTTAGGAGTGTTTTTTGTTAGTAAATCAGGTTGACATACGTAAGCATGTGAGTGAAATCTGTATCTTTAGTCAGGAAGACACTTGTGTAGTGCAGAGACTGGAGACGAAGGTAAATAGAAGGAAAGTTTCAGGTGTCTTTTTTTCTTCTAGGAAAATATTAACATGTTCTACGCTTCCAAGCCTCCAGAAAACATAATAATTAGGCTATATTAAATTATACAGCAATTATGCATTTGGTTTTTATGCATTTGGTTTTTATGCACTGGGGAGAAGTCATGTTTTATTTACAAGATTTATGGCCACTACCTTTTAATGCTGTCTGGGGGTTCCATGGCTATTTTAAGAAAAGGGACACATACAAATCAGGAATTATTATGACATCATTATAAATCACTGTGCAATTTATTATGCTGTTTATCAAGGCTCAACCAATAGACAGGCGTGTCCAGATGTGGTCTTAGAAGTCCAGATGAATACAAAACAATAATGAGCAGTAAATTGCTAAACTCAATTATCATAACAATATTGTTTGTAAGCAAGTGAGGAAAAAATCCTCAACAGAACAATTGACAAAAAGTTGAACTAAAATGCCCATTTCTCATTATGTAAAAAAAATATGGACAGGAGTAATTCAAACGAGGTATTGTTCACATTTTTGTTAAAGAAATTGACTGTTCTTTAAGAGTTCTTTAAAACAATGCTTTGGGGAATTAAGACAAAGTTAGTGGTGAATATAACTTTCTATTAAGCAGTTTTCTTTCTCAATTGCGCACAACCACTTATGAGCCAGAACATAACAGCTCAATCAAACCTTTACTTGAACCCCTCTGAAATGTACTGCGAAAATGCTGATATTACTGCAAGACTTAGAAAGGAAAAAAAAAAGACAGCCCAGAAAGAAGAAAATGGATAGGGCAGCTACCTTTTTGCATTCTCCCAGTTTCTTCTGCCATATGGAGCGAGCAATAGCAATGCTCTTGCTGTTGGTTACGTAGCAGGTGGCTGCGATGACGTGGTGGAGGGCAGTCTTCTGGCTCATGGCTTGCAGCACTCGCCCAACGTGCCGGAGGGAAAGGCTGGCCTCTACACATATGCCACCCCTAACCAGCTGCATCGTGCAGGGCACCAGAGCAATCTGTCCAGCACAGTAGAGAACATCACCAACCTAGGAGAGAATCAGATCAAGTATGTAAGACTCTATGAGTTTACAGATGACGTAGGAAGCACCTTTTTGTCTTCCAGCTGATTTCTTTCAATAGTACTATAGTAAAAATGTGGTGGACCCCAATTCAGGGAAGAAATGATGATGCCTGGCTCCAGATCAGAAGGCAGAAGGATAGCTTTATTAAAACTATACTATATTACATTAATATACTATTTAAAGAGATACTATACTAGTCTACATACTTACTTCTTACTTACCTATCTAACAAACTCGTGACTCTCTGCTGAGAGTCCGAGACACAGCTGGATCCGATTGGTCATTGAACCCAAACAACCTTCACCAGAATCCAATCAAGCAATCACTTCAGGTAAATAATCTCCATACCACATTCCACATGGGGAAAACAAAGGAGCAAAGATAAAGATTGTTTTCTTTTCTCTCTGTGCTTCTCCAAAAAATCCTGAGAGACAGAATTATGTCTCTCTGTCCAGAGAATGTGAATGTCACACAGTACTGTTCTTTGCCATAATTTGTTACAAACAGAGCAAACACATCAGCCTAAAGGTAATGCATGGATGTACGTGTCAGCTCAAAACAATAATCTCATGCAGACTGTTATAGCTGGATCACACTGATGCCCCAACACGGTTAAATCTGCTCTTGTTTTCTTTTGAGTGATGATGCACATTATTTTCAATGCTATTTTTTAATCTTCTATGTCTTAAGCTTTGTTTTATACAAAACCATATAAGAAATTATCAGTGCACACCTGTAACACTTTAGCAAACTAATTTAAAAATACTGTAAAAATATATTAGCAGAACACCTAAATGACTGTGTATGAAGAAAAAGCAGTGTTATTCCACCAGAAGGTAAAAGCAAACTGCAGATTGAAAATAAAATGCAGAAGAATGCTACTTGAACAAAGAGATGGGTCACCTTTTGAAAATTAATGGACTTTAATGGGTGGCCAGATTTACTACTGCAATGCAGATATTTTGGGCTTATTTTCCAAAATCTTCCCAGCAACACTCTGAAGACCTACTTTTTTTAACAGCAGCCAGCAAAGGAAACATTTATTCTTATTATTCAGACATCTCAAAGATTTTTTTAATAAAATCTTAATGTAAATATCAAAACTTTTCATCATCTTATGCTGCACTTCTCTAGAACATCTGTGCATGTCCTAATCAGTGAAGCAGTAGATTTTATTCACTATCAAAAGAAAACTAAGTATAGAAGTGGGAAGTAAGGTGGGTGTAAGCAGCTTTGAAGTCAGCACAGGAAAAATTTTGTTAAGAGTAACGACAGAGAAAATGGACTGTGGAAGGAATCTTTCTGAAGAATTTTGCAGACCTTACTGTATAAACTGTAAAAATTCCTCAGAATTAAGAATAATTAAAAAAGAAATCTGTGTCCTAGAAGACATGGCAATCAAACCATGTGACAGACCCATATGCAACTCCAAATCTGTCCTCATAACTGTCTGTGTCTCACAAAAGACTCACACATGTAACTATTGGAAGAGTATCTTATACAATTTGGCATACAAGTTCTATGATTAGCAGCTGAAGAGGGGGAGGAGGCAGAGAGGAAACAATATATCAACTGACACACATCAACTATTCAAATGGTTTAAAATACCTGAAATATTGTTTGATAATGCTATATATAATCCTGAATTTGGAAAAAAATATATGAAAGCAGTATTTCGGTTTATAGGAACAAATGGTCTTTTTTTCTTTTTTTTACAGTGCTATTTTAAAATATGTGCCACTGAACAAGGGAGTCCAGCCAGCTACCAAGTGGCATACTGACAAGATGAGAAACAAATTCAGAAAGATATGATTCAGAGGGGCACAGGTTTGTTTTTAAAGCAAACCATTCATTTTCACCTCTGCAAAGTGAAATCCCTGCATCAGTCAAAAACTCCAATGCAGGTAGGTTAGACTTCTACAGGGAAAAAAAAAAAAAAAATCACACTGATGGTATTTCTTCCTTTTTATCCCCTGTTGAGCTGCTGGTTTTCCATGCATCACCCATGTTAATTATTAGGTAGACAGAAGAGCTGTTCAACCAGTTCACTTCCCCTATTCTTGAACAGATTGTTTGAGACATAATATGAATACTAATTAACGATAAAATATCTGTCAGTGTTTTGAAATACAGACCAAGATAGCACTTTCTTAAAGTATCCTGGACAGTTCTGATACAATTAGCCCCACTGGTCATAAGCAAGGTCATAAAAAAATCTCGGAAGGATTTGAGCAAATTTGGCACCGCTTTTGGCTAAGATTCAGTGGGAATATTGCAGCTTTTTAAAAACCAATTGAAAAAAAATCCCTCTGTTCCTAACATACTTGTTTGTATTTTAAGATGCAATTAATTGAAAAACAATGTTTCTAACAAGCCACCATGTTATGGAAGGGTGGATGCGAGGGGAAAAGAGGGGAAAAGGATAAAAAAATGGCCACAGATTTGCAGCAACTGTATTTCAGGGGGACATAATTTAGAATAAGGGAAGGAGGAGGGATATCTCTCTTCTCTGTCCCAGTGACTCAGTCATCAAAAGCAAGCATAAATAATCAGCAAGGACAAAGCAGCAAACCAGTACAAACACTGTTTTAGCAGATTTCAAGACGTTGTCTTTGGAATGTTTGAAGCATTATACAGAAAATTGTTAGCAGAGTAAAAGGCATTTAAAACAGGGAAGTCATCATACTATCTTGCTCACAGTACTGAAATCTTACAAGAGGAGCTGTCACAATGTATGGTGTCAGTACTTGTGTTGTGAAAGTGTTCTGCAAAACCCTGCTAGAACCTTGCAACAGTTTATCTTTTTGGAGCACTTATGAGGATAACAGAAGATCTTTCAGGGTGCAGATTCACAGTGTATCCGGCCTGGCCGACTTGCATTATACAGGAAACTCAGCATAGAAACAAAACTACAATATAAAGGATCCGTATCGATCCTTAGAGGATCCATATGTATGCAGTGGATGTCTAACTGGTAATTTAATTTTTGCTGCAGACCATACACATATTTCCAGTGTTAAAATTTAAATAAAGACTTGAACCAAAGACAATCCTGAAAACTCAGGCTTCATACTGCTGAGATGGTCACTTGTACAAGTTTATTTCCAATATTGTTTCACAGCAGTAAACAGGTTATAAATGGGGCCTCATGTGATTCCACATTTCTTCTCTTTTTATTTTCATTGGTATCATTGCGAGTAAAATGCAAGGTGAGTCCTTATAAGTTATTATAATAGTTTAGCAGCTGTTTTGCTCAGTCAGCACAACTGTAAATAATCAGGGGTGTTTACTGGATAATCTCAGAGGGTACAATGCATGCTCTCACAGATAGAAAGCTAAGAGATTATTTGAGAATTACTACTTTTCACAGTGTAGCTATTTTACAGGGATAAGTATAATTAGACCTAGGGCATGGCTTATACCACTAGAAAACTGTATAGTAGCTTTTTTTTCTAAGGTGCTTTCATGTATTAGAAAACAGAAGGAAAGCATCTATGGTATCATGGAAAGGAAAGTCAGAGGAACTGACTTAGCGCCACTTGTAACTGTTTTATACCATTAAATAGTTTTTACCAGTATTCTAAGTTACCAAAAGGACACAACATATCTTCCATATATATATATATATATGTATATATATCAGAAAAAAGAAACCATGAGAAAACCAGACTTAACTGACTGAGGAATAACTTAAGCTGTTAATTAGAAAGGAAAAGCTGCAACTATCATTGCCTATAAAGAAACAGAAGTGATAGGATACTTATAGATATGCACTGACTTTATGAAACTGGTCCTGCTCATATTATTAAAACTTGTGAGTGATTAACTGACAATATAAAACTTGCTGGAAACTTCTAACAGAGGGATCTCAAACATTCACCCACAGATACTTAGGCAAACGCTAATAGTTGCACCACAAATGCATGTTTCTTGGAAGGAAGGAGTCAATATGCAATCAGGCAAATCTTTGTTATGAATGCAGTTTGGTGTCTGAGTGACTGCTGCCCTTTAACAGGTCAGGGTGCACAGAAGGTTCAGTGACCCCCTGACCTAACAGTGACACGACCACCATTAGGCTGAGTCAATGTAAATAAGCAGAACTGACAACACACTAATAGGCTGCCTCTGGTCAGCCACTGGTACCTCTGACCTTAATGAAGACCTAAATCAATTAATACTCCAGGCAATAAAGACCTCTGGCTGATTAAGATAGATAGAAATAATCTTTTCTAACAGGATTAAAGCTGCAAGGTGGTGAACTTTTTATTCAATATATGGTAATCCTTTCTTCCTAGGGCCCTCTTGTTTCAGATAATGATGGTAAAATTGCTTTTTTGCAATGTGACATCTTTTATTCAACTGACTAGTAAGAATAAACTTTTTAAAGGCATGGTTTAGACAACAGTAATTTAAAAGCTTGAAGTTCATGCTATGAAAACAAATTGTATCTGACTAACATGATTCTAATACACCCAACCTTCAATATAATGAATGTTTTTCTTGAACTGTTATAAATTTATAGTCTGGAAATTCCAAATGCGTTCATAACACATAGTTGAGTTTGATACAGGCTTTCTTCAGAGAAAAAATTGTTCATCGGTGCCTCTATCAGTAGCTAAAGGATGAAGGATATATTCCTAACTACTACTACTACTACTACTACTACTACTAATTTTTATTATTACCTTTGACTAAAAAATTTTTAATTTCTAAGACTCCATATATATCTTAGTCAAATTAGTTTGTATATCATACTCAAAACTTCAGAACTTCCCTTTAGATAGTTTTTTTTTTCCTAGATAGGTAAAAAAACCCAATCATAATTAATCAATAGCATATTATAGTTATTTTATTGAACTAGCTGTAACATTCCCACAGTTTTAAAGGTTTTATAATTCAGTTTTTAGATGTTGTGAGTCCATTTTGTTAGTTCTCATTTTGGGATGGATGTTTCAATATGTATC